GAGCGTTTCTATGGAAAGTTATGATTTCCCTGAAAAATGCAAATATGAACCAAATTCGCCCTTTTGTATTGCTTGCTCGAAAATCATAACTCTTCATAGAGACCCTCAATCAGCGCAAACTTTGCACTGTTAGAAAGAGCTGGTGAAAGAACCTACAATACTGACTGCTCCGATTTTTGTTGCAAGTCTCTGATTTTTCATGACCCTACACAGAAAATTCAAATTCTGGCCAATTTTCTTCTATCGCTCCTATCTATGCAACGGATGACCATTAGTAAGCAGGTAAGATGTCATTATAAAAAACATGACTTACTGTTTCATACGAAAATAGAAGCAGTCAAATCAGTTGGAAAAATCAGAAGTTATGAATTTTTGAAAATCGTGCGCAAGAACTTTCGGGACGACCTACAATGCTGGCCATAGCTATAAAGCCACCCTAAAAAATCACTGTAATTTGCTCTCTCTTGCTTGAAATTGTCTAAGATACCACTATTCTGTGTGCAAACTGACGTCATATCATTGACCAGGACGGCTCCCAATTTCATTGGTTTTGGCCGGAAAAAAAATTAAAAAATTTGAAAATAGGGGTTCACAAGGCTGGTCACAGCTATAAAGCCACCTCTCATTTCCAATCAGTACTACGTTTTTCGAACCTGAAATGTTTTGCGCATATACAACATCAAAAAATAAAACATTCATCACGCTTGGAAACAGTCGCCTTTTCAAAAAGGAGGTTCATCCTGCATTTTTTGCTTCAAAATGTATAAAAAGTTATAATGTTTGGGAAAACTATCTTTTCACCGAATTCTCAAGCATTTGTTTGACTCGAATGAAGGTCCTAGGCTTCGCCGGGCCTTTGTAATGAATATGGTGAAAAGCACAGGCGTCAACATGGCGTAGTCGCTGATATTGATAAACGAGCCCCAACCTCACTTCCAGGTAGACGAGTTTTCGAACCGCAGAAATTGAGTTCTAATGCCCGAAAAGCTGTGTCACGTGCTCAGCACGTCGCCTATACAGCGATACACTCCTGCGCATAACTTGAACGTCATCGCAACACTCAGGATTTTGGTTCCGCCTTGGACGCCTTTTTTTCCAAAAATGAATGGTGCACTCTGCCTGATCATGACACCTCTGACCTCTCGATCGAGCGGAAAACCGCTCAAAACCTCAAAATTCTAATATTTCTGACAGTTTTGTAAGATTTGTCTCAATGGGGAGTTCAAAGCAGTAATATTTGAAGTCATGTGAGATACACTGCGCACAACCGAACTGCAGAAGCGTTCTAAGTTCAGTGCTGCAAGTACGTCTTTATAAAAAGTCTCACAGTTTCTGCATGAGTACATCTCCATGCAAACAAGGTGTCAACTTCCAACCGAAAATTTTCGCGCGTCAGAAATTGAGATTTGCTTTTCAGAAGTGCGTTTACACGTAGGTAAGATTGAGCTTCGTTCATCAATACCAGCGACTACACCATGCTGACTCCTGCACTTTTCACCATATTCATTGCAAAGGCTCGGCGAAGCCTAGGACCTTCATTCGAGGCAAACAAATGCATGAAAATTCGGTGAAAAGGCAGTTTTTCCAAACAATATAACTTTTTACACATTTTGGAGCAAAAAATGCACGATAAATCTTCTTTCTAAGAAGGCGACTGCTTCCAAGTGTGCCAAATGTTTTATATTTTGATGTTGTGTATGTACAAAAAATTCCAGGTTCAAAAAACGTAGTACTGATTAGAAATGAGAGGTGGCTTTATAACTGTGACCAGCCTTGGGAACCCCTTTTTTCAAATTTTTCAATTTATCTCCGGCCAAAATTAATGAAATTGGGAGCCGTCCTGGTCAATGATATAACGTTAGTTTGCACACAGAATAGTGGTTTTTCAGACGATTTCGAACAAGAGAGAGCCAATCACAATGATTTTTAGGGTGGCTTTATAGCTATGGCCAGCACTGTATACAATGTGTTGGCTTCTATGAGTCACCGGAGCAAGTGCTTTTTAGAGCCGGGAAGCAAAGAAGCCCTAACATGATGTATACCATTCGAAAGCTGAGATCATGGAAAATCGACGTAGACCGTCTACTTTTCTCTAGGTCTTCTGTGACGCGAGATATGAGGGATTTTATGTGCTTCAAAAATTAACTGATTTTGTGTCCTCACTTTCTGCTCTCCAAATGAATGCTACGAGAAAGTCGACGGTCTACGTTTGTTAATGAAGACTTGCTCTTTAACACAGATAGATAATCAGCAGTAATTAGGTCTTTATTTGGCAGAAATCTGCTGTTGAAAATGACCATGTGTTCAGATAAAATGCGGTGTATCTCTCGGTAGAGGGGAGGCTAGAAAGAAGTCGACGGTCTAGGTCGAATCCCCTTTTCCTGAAATTTCGAATGGTATATAGGTTGCTGGGCGAAAAAACTAACCAGTTTTCAGAAATGGGGTGGAGATATTTACTATTAGCTTGCTCCAATCCAGCTCCACCAATGTATTAGCTTTTATCGGTTACCGGAGCAAGTGCTTTTTAGAGCCGGGAAGCAAATAAGCCTAACATGATGTATACCATTCGAAAGCTGAGATCATGGAAAATCGACGTAGACCGTCGACTTTTCTCTAGGTCTTCTGTGCCGCGAGATATGACGCGAGATATGAGGGATTTTATGTGCTTCAAAAATTAACTGATTTTGTGTCCTCACTTTCTGCTCTCCAAATGAATGCTACGAGGATAAATAAATAATATAAATAAACATAAATACCGTTTCTTTCGTAAATTTATGAGTGTACTTGTTGTTTGAGGTACTTAGCCTGCAAAACCTTTTAATAACGATTTTTATCATATTCTCAGAGTACAATACCAATCTCAGCCCAGGTGAAGGGGGTCATCGGGAGTTTGGCCTCAAAGTGAAGGGGGTAAGATCCATCACTCCCCCTATCGCAACTATGATGCGCATACCGCAGCAGTTAAGACATAGGGTCACATAATGAGTCTGCGTCTTAACCTTGGCGGCACGCGTCATAATCCAAATCAAGGGGTTCTGAGTTGAGAGCTCGTTTTCGACATTTTCACGTCTTCCAAGCTGCATTTTTGGATTCAGGGAAGGATTAGCCAAGGTAGGCGAAAATAATGTCATTCGATATTTTGTCCGCACGCTGTCTTCAAAGTCAAATCAAAAACTGGCGATCTCGTAAACTCGAACAAGTTGAATGCGCTAAAGTCGCCGCGGAAATCCATCAATGCCGAAGAGTCCGAATCGTCGGATTCCAGCGAAGATTTGCATAATGGGGTAATACGACATCCTGAACACACATCTTATATTCAGTTGTTGCCAAATCAAAAATTAGCAGACTAATTATATGTAGATGTGTGCATTCGTAGCCAGCACACTCGACACCGTGCTATTTCTGCATAAAGCTGGATTTAATAGCACCATGCATTAAAACCCCAACGAATTACTTTTTTAATCGCTTATAAGATCTTCCAGAGTGTCCCGAGCAGATAGGAAAGGTAGATTTGAAATCAGCTCATCAAGACGCATTTAACGAAATGCATTTCATTCCAGTTCGCCACTACGATCTGGATCCTTCCCTTGCTAGAAAGTCGAATAATTAAGTTCAAGCTTTTGGAATTTCGACCATGCTGGGCCATGCCCTTTATTCCTTTGTTGAAAAATTTTTGAATAGTTATGTGATAGAAGGAGCTTCGAACACTTTTACGCAAAAAAATTTAAATAGAAAACGGCAAGAAAAATTCTTATTTTATTCATTTCCCACATGCACCAAAATGCGCCAAAAGTACACACATGAATAAATAGTTTCTGTAGAAGCAGGTAGCTAATTTGATTCCTAGCTGGAGCAAACAGGTCTTATAAAGATTTGGATGCCATGAGATTATTTTTTGGCCAGCCTGATACTTGCGAAGTTGGTACCCTATTTTGAGGTATACAAGCCACACCCTCTTTGCTGTAAACGCGAGCAGACCAAGGCGTACAGCTGCGCAAGCGCCTCGCAAAGCGGTCGCTTTCTCACACATTGCTCTCACCTAACGCGCCCCATCGTGACAGGCAGTCTTTTGACGTGTGCACTTTTAGTGCGAACAGGGTGGGCTTATACACCTGAAACTAGAGTAAGTAAAAATCTCGAGCTTTGTTCGGAATTTGAGATGATGTGATGGAGATGAGAGTTAAACGACCATCGCATATATAGCATCCTTATCCTCATAAGGAACTTGACATCTCAGACAAATGACGGAACTTCCGCAGAGCGTTTGCGGAAGTTCCGCCGGGTCTCCTGCAGAAGTTCCGTAAACGCGCTGCGGAAGTTCCGAAGAATGTCAACCACAACAGCAGAAGAGGACACCAAAGCAAGATTTGAACCTCACTCTATTGACCGTGAGACCCACCTGCTATCCTCTACGCTACCGCTGACATGTTCGATAATGCACTCTAGTTTTTGGCGAGGCAATATCACGAGACAACACATTCAAAGTCCTGCGGAAGTTCTGGCAGGCCAAACTGCTGCGAAACCTCCGCATCTACGGAATTTCCACAGGATTTTGAAGAAGGTTCTGCGGAAGTTCCGCTTTCCACACAGTTTGGCATGAAAATCCCGCGGAAGCTCCGATTTTCAATGTTTTCATTTTTGCAATAGTGAACAAAATCCTGCGGAACTTCTGCAAATTTGCCTTGTCTTGCGGAAGTTCCGGTGATTTATCTGAGATCATTTGGCCCGTGTATGATTTATCAAGAAATTGATCTGCCAGATCGACTACGATGAAGTGTCGTGTGAAATTTACTAGATCCAAATGACAAATTCAACCCACTTTCCCGCTGTCTACGGTCTTAAATCACATATGCCTTCGATGAAGGTTAAGAAGTACTCATCAAAAGAGAAGCGCCGCTTTTCTGGATTGCAAACTCCAACATTTTGCACAAGTGTCAGATACTTGGACCCCAACCTGCTACTAAAAGGAGACAATTATTCAAACACTACCCATAACTCACGTGATATATGCCGCCTTTATACTCGCGAAAATCTGCGTACACTTCAAAGCTAGCTTGAACAGGTCCATTCTTGTAAATCTCCTTCATAATTTCCGTCTCATCAAATGCAACTTTATATGCGCTGATTCCTGTAATAGTCGCTATCCAATAGGAAATCAAAGGAAGAGGAAGCTACCGTAATGTTTATCTTGCTTCCAAAGAATTGGGTATCCACGCTGACAGAACTTCTCGCATCTAGGTGTAGGCCATGTTGAAGTTGGGCATTCGCCATAATAAATCTCGCCCTCTACTGGTTTGCCGCATGGATGAAAGGCATAAGGTTTGCAAACGCCCTTCAAGTAAGTTGCAGTAGATTTGATAGCATTAGTGAAAAGTGAACACGTGATGGTGATTTTCCTGCAGAACTATTATTCACACTACAGTTTACCTTTTCTCGATAACGTCCTCCAGTCACAACACCGTATTTCACCAGATACTTCCATGCTTCTATGGGATAACCCCCTTCACATCTAAATCAATGGGTTTTGAGAGGTACCGTTTGTGTTTATGTTTAAAGGCAGCGGCTCGGCAGAATGACAACATTGGGATATTCATCGTTCTCGGTCCTCCTGGATGAGCTGAGTCTAAGACTGTACTTTGCAGCTTCAAAAGATACCAATGACCCGCTTTTCCAGACGTGAAAGCGCTATTTGAGGACGAACCGCGTAAGCCTGTCCTCGAGCGCGATTGGCTCGTGTGTACTGTAGGTACGGTATCTCCACTCACGAACCAATCGCGCTCGAGGACAGGCTTACGCGGTCCGCCCTAGAATAGCGCTTTTCACGTCTGGAAAAGCAGGTTATTGATATCTTTTTAAGCTGCAAAGTACAGTCTCAGACTCAGCTCATCCAGGAGAACCGAGAACGATGAATATCCCAAATTTGACATTCTGCCGAGCCGCTGCCTTTAAGTAGCGATCCATCACGTCGCTAAAAATATTACCCAGCAATACAGTGGCAAATGGGTTTCTGTTAAAAAGTTTGTCTATGCCTATTTTGAACACGATTTCCCTTAGTCGCAGGTCGTAGTTGATGCGCGCTTTAGATTCAATTTTGAACAAAGAGAAAACAGTACTCTAAGCGCATTAGAAATTATTGTAAACAAGAAACCGTCAATTATAAAATGCATACTTTGTATGGTTGTACTCACCTTTCGGGAAAGGTTCTCTAGCCCAAAAATCCACGAAAACTTTTCTGAGAAGCTCTAGCTTGAGAAAGCATAATTTACTCTTGGAAGTACTAGAATGTAGCAAACTTTGCCCATTATAAAGCCGATGGTTGGTTGAAGAGCTGTGAATGTGAAAATGACGGGAAATTTCTGCGGATGTGATTTGCCGAAAAACTGAAAGTACCCAAGTTTTTCTGCATTTAGAAGGCAAAAAACTGTTTTCTGAAATCCTTTGATTCTTTTTTGAAAACGAGGAAATCCCGTCCTGTTATTAATACGGTTAAGAGTGATCCCGCAATATGCCAAGTTTGAGTCAAACCTTCTCGGTTCAAGATTTTCCAAGAACCTCGCCTTGGTAAGCATTTTGTATCACAGATCATCGCAACTATCTCTCTGCATAACTCAAAATGGTCCGTTTGAAAGGTATGTGCGTTGTAGAATCGTCAGCAGCCGAACCGATTGAGCTGAAACTTTGCACACAGATGTTTTCGACCACGGAGACGGTTTTGGGCTACTTTTTACAAAAATTCCCCTTTCATCGATTTATTATTGTTTGCTGGCTTCTGGAAACATGAAAGCTTGCAGTGTTTATCAAGTCATTTCACCACAGCCACTAAACAGGGACGGCAAGCCTCATTTTAATTCGGTGTTTAGCAGCATGCGCTAAATCTATATAAGTCGCTTAGAGGGTCACTCCATCTTTAGATGCTAATGTATGTATGAGAAACTAGAAGTGGTGCGCATTTAAATGCTATAAAAGATTTTCAAGAAAGGGTTTGCTTCAAAAAAACTAGCATTCAGAATAAATAAGAAAAACGTTCATCAGTTACGAACCAATCTGATAATCCAAAATGCAATGGCCGATACATATTTGCTGTATATAGAAATGTATTTTAAATTGGTTGTTTACTTGATATTGTATATAAGCATACCATTTTTGGGGGATAGTTCATTCTGTCTTACTCGATTTCGTCGCCAAGCTCTCCACTACCACTTGGCTGTTATATATCTTACCTGTATCGATAAACGACTACAGCCACTATCGTGTTGGTCGTATAGCAACATAGAAGCAAGCCTACCGACGCTACTATACTCTGTTGGATCCACTATCCTGTTTAGGTGGATTCCTTTATACTGATATCAAGATATCCGAGACCAACGAAAATTCATGTCACCCTATTTCCTTTACACTTGCAGAATTATCATTTGTCCATTTACTCACCCATAACCGCAATCACTTCCGCAGCATGCTAGAATGTCGGTGTCAGAAAGATAAGACTAAATAGGTCATTTTTTTCTAGAAAACAAATTGATTAAAGGCTGACATTGAATTTTCCTTCTGACTGCACGCACAGCCTATCGCTCATTGCGGATGCAGCCGACACAGCCCAGCATGAGCCTGTGAATTCAAAATTCAAAAAACTTCACACTTCGGAAAAGACTCACCGCAGTTGGACTGATCACGAATGTAAGGAATTGAAATGCAGTTAGGCCACTTATCCCTTGCGTCGAAACTAAAAACAGAATTATGCTGCATTCTGATTGTAAAAAAATAAAGGAGTTTTATACACTATCTCTAATAAACTACCGCATTCTTTGATCTGCAGCAAATTTGTCTCAAAATGATTTTCAAATAGATAACAATAATTGTTATCAAACAACAGTTCGAGATGAAGAAACGAGACGCACAGCAGATGCCGGAGGCAGATTTGAAATCAGCGCTTTAAGATGCATTTAATGGTATACGTTGCATTTAAGGCTCCCTCACCAAGTATCTTTTTCCTGTTAGTCTTGTTTAGATTAAATTTTGAAGATTATTGCGCGGATCAACACAACGCTCGCGACAACGAATTGCCTAAAGAGGATTAATCTGCTTCTATGTAAATGCGAACGCTCGAATTCTCACATTGTACCAAATAGGTTGTAATAGAGACATAATTTATTTTTGGAGGTACGCGCATTTTTAGAGACTGAAAAGGCGTTAGTCAAATTGAAACACTACATCGACTCTCAGATCCCAACTTACCACTCCACTTGTTTTAAATGGAAGTAAGGAGTTTGGGAAGAAAGTTCACCACCAAGTATTAGTTGTTCCAAAAAGCGTTTCCATATCTGGTTTTGCATCAACATAATTCTTTTTTTAGATCCTAAGAGAATGCGGGTACCATTAGACAGATCATTCTAAAGTTCCTACCAAGCTTAATGCGCATCAATTTTTAAATCAAAATAAAAAATCCAGATCCTTGAAAAACGAAAATAGTCACATCTCAGTTCAAAACAACTCTGCGAATTTCACAATCGCTCGCGCATACACCCTCCCCATCAAAAATGTATACATACACTAGCTGCATGTTTTGATGGCTAGAAATCAAGAAATAAAAATTAAGAGCTGAATTTTTCAGCCTCTGCCTGTAGAGGTTCTGTGTTCCCTGTAATATCTGATTATATAGCTTATTCACTCAGAAGTGTTAAAAATGAAATGTTCATATCACCGTCGTCTGGCTTGCAGCCGCTCAAAATGCGCTAGTGGAGTGGGAGAATGAGCACCCAAGCTAAATCTTCAGCTGCATGAATGGGCATACAATCTTATAGCTTGCAATAAAACACAAAACTTGACGGTTAACAGATGCTTTTCCGCTTTTGCTCCCAGGTTTCGGCTCGCGGGCGAGAATATGGAGCCTTCCAGCCTCAGCGGAAATTCGGTTTTTTGGCCAATTGCACCTTGTATAGTAATCAACAACGTTATCTTTTACTGTGTTTATCCAGTGTTTACCCAGTGTACTAATCAAGCTTTGCCGTTTCTGCAAGCCGCATATTGGTTGATATAGGACGAGCTTCAGAATGGGGCTCGCAGTTTCAAAGAGTTACTCACATCTTATATATAAAGCTGAATGTCTGCTTGTATGTATGTATGTATGTATGTCTGTCTGTCTGTCTGTATGTATGTCTGTCTGTACGTATGTTCCGAATAGAAAATTCCATTTCTGAACCGATCCAGACCAAACTTGGCATACATACACTACGGGCCCCGGCGGGTGTCATAGGCTACTTTTCGTCATCGATCGATATCGAATTTTATCGATTTTTTTGCTGAGTTCACCTACGGGGCTGGGAGTTGGCACAGGGGGGTAATCGAGCATGGGGATTCCGAATACAATATTGGTTTTCAGGATTATCGATTACTTTTATCGATTTTATCGATTTTTTTTGCAAAGTTTGAGCTACGGGGCTGGAGTTGGCATAGGAGGGTAATCGAGCATGGGGATTCCGAATACAATATTGGTTTTCAGGATTATCGATTACTTTTATCGATTTTATCGATTTTTTTGCAAAGTTTGAGCTACGGGGCTGGGAGTTGGCACAGGAGGGTAATCGAGCATGGGGATTCCGAATACAATATTGGTTTTCAGGATTATCGATTACTTTTATCGATTTTATCGATTTTTTGCAAAGTTTGAGCTACGGGGCTGGGAGTTCGCACAGGGGGTAATCGGGCATGGGGATTCCGAATACAATATTGGTTTTCGGGATTATCGATTACTTTTATCGATTTTATCGATTTTTTTGCAAGGTTTGAGCTAGGGGGCTGAGAGTTGGCAGAGGGGGGTAATCGAGCATGCTGATCACTCCCAAGGGGGGTGATCAGCATGCTCGATTACACCCATGTGCCAAATTCCAGTCCCCTAGCTCAAATTTTCAAAAAATCGATAAAATCGATAAAAGTAATGGACGATCCTAAAAACTAATGTTGTGTTCGTCATCAGCATGCTTGATTACCCCCCTGTGCAAAATCCCAGCCTCGCATGTCAAAATTTACAAAAAATCGATAAAATCAATAAAAGTAATCGATAATTCTGAAAACTAATATTGTATTCGGAATCCCCATGCTTACTTCCCCCCCTGTGCCAACTCCTAGCCCTGTAGGTGAACTCTGCAAAAAAATCGATAAAAATTGGTAAAATCGACATCGATCGATAACGAAAAGTGGACTGTGACACCCGCCGAGGCCCGAAGTGTATGTGTGCCAAGTTTGGTCCGGATACGGCGGAGCCGGGTAAGCCAGCTAGTGAGCCATAAAATGGTCGCTTAGTCTCGCTTCTAGATAATAAAAAAAATGAGAAAATCAAATCAAAAATAAAAAAGAATGGTCAGTTGTGAAGCAAAAAGCAATAAAAGTGCATAATTGAAACTAGATAGTCTTTTGAGCAGGTAATTCGTTTATGTTCATAAAAATGTTGGTCTTGTAGCGATTATGAGATAAGGATTCGGCTGCATACAGTTATGACTTTGGAATGTGAAAATTCTCGGCGATGTCGGCGAAGTCGGCGACTTTGCGTTTTTCGCCGACTTTGCCGAATTCGCTGACACCGCCGAGAATTTTCACATTCCACTGTCATAACTGGGCATTGTCATAATTGTGGAAAAGCTTATAGATCACTGAAGGTTTGGATTTGAAAAAAAATTTATGTGGCTTTTTAAAGGTTCATTTGCTAGCATCAGATGAGAAAATTACCGTTTTGACAGATTATAAGCCAGATACAATACCACCCACATAACTCGCAAAATTTCCGGGAATGTCGCGAAGTTTCGCGAAACCCCGGGAATTTCGCGGAATTTTCGGACATTCACAGAAATTTTGCACATTCTGCGAGCGATATTGTATAGTAACATCATAAGTTGGCGGGACTTACAGTACACAGCCAGAAAGCGAAAAATCGATATTTTGGAGGTTAGTGAACCACCAAATCCTCAAGAATTGATACAATCGGTATCCTGAGGGCTTTGAAATCCCAAAGATCGGTAAAATGAGCGCAAAACTAAGCGGAAAATTCGAAAAACTCCATAAGCTCATTTCCAGTGCTTTTATACAGCTGAAACGCCTCCAAGAGCTCCGCCCGCTTTTTACTTCGCATCACGACCAAAATCAAAGAAAATAAGCGAAAATAAGGGAGAATAAGCAAAAATTTTTTCACCCTAATTATCTCCTTTCTAGCCTTTTTCAGCCCCCTGACCAGGCCAGATAGCCGCCGGGTAACTATCACACACGTTGCAGTAATAAAGAGAGGGGGAAAATGAGGGGGAGAAAGAGGAAAAATCCCGTGGACAGAACTAAATAGTTCGGGAAGTTTTATAGATGGGCTCCCACAGGCGGAACCCCTGCATTTTTTCCAAATTATATGATGTGTCCCCTTCGAATACAAACTGAACATGGCTATCCCAGCCCGTCATCCCTACTCTCCATGGAGATAAAATTCAAAATATGCATCATCGCCTTTGTGTGGTGCCTCCTACACTGGAGCTATGGGCACGAGCTTCCCCTAGGAAAATAGAGCTAACAAAAGTACATGTCCATGGCCAAATGAGATTACTCCAGCCCTGCAACTTGCAGAGGTATAAGGCCGCGAACTCGCCCTTATCGACAGATTTCCCAAGTTCGGCTGTCAATTAGGCACTTTTAATCTTACGACTTCCTCTCTAAAAATCATATTTTCAGAGATCTGTCCAATAAAACAAACTCCAGCCTCATATCTGTAATATTCGCAGAGTTATTAGCACCCCAACATGCATGCTCAGGCCATAAAATCGGCTGCTCCAAAGTTGCCCCGTAATTCCCCCCAAAATCACGTTAGACACCTCTCTCATACCTATACACTCCATATTTTTTCTAGCTTCTTAGGGCCGCATGCACTAACATCCCCGCGGGGAGGGGATCGCAGCTTAAAAGAAAGCTTTATATTTCGAAACTCCAGATACCTGGATTTCACGTTGTGTACCTATCCGTATGTATTCCTACTACCCTTCACTATGAACATGTTGAAGAGGAGCGAGAAGCTGTATGAACCGCATTTTCCAGCTTTTGTATGATCCCTGATGATCCCCGGCGCTTTTCTTTATAGTCATTTTTCTTTCTCCGAAGTTAACGAAGAACCTCCGAGGTTGTGCAGATTATCCAGCCTGAAGTGCTAAGCATGTTCGTGATAAGAACAAATGATGTTTTGAAGTCATGAAATTGATGATCCACAGTTCGAAATTTGAGGTTTACCGAAAAATCTGACTTTTCAAAAACTCATTTGTTCTCATCAGCAACATGTTTAGCACTGTTGTGTTAGATGTTCAGTACAGCTTTGGAAAGTTTTCGTTGAAGTTGGAGAAAAAAATTGACTTTGAAGAAAAGCGCCGGGGATCATCAGGGATCATACAAAAGCTGGAAAATGCGGTTCGTACAGCTTCTCGCTCCTGTTCAACATGTTCATAGTGAAGGGTAGTAGGAATACTTACGGATAGGTATACAACGTGAAATCCAGGTATCTGAAGTTTCGAAATATAAAGCTTTCTTTCAAGCTGCGATCCCCTCCCCAGCGGGGAGGTTAGTGCATGCGGCCCTTGGAAACAATACACACTGATATAGCGCGCTCACTCCTCACTCTTGGTCTCGGCGCAGGATTTGGTCAAAATATTGAGGTTCTCGGATTGACCGGAAACTTCACTCATAGTGGTTTTTGGTCCCGATCTTTACGAAAATCTTAGTTATTTTGCACTAGAGAGCCTTACAGTAAAGCTAAAGTGGGTAGAAGTAGCTGAACCCATCAAGATCACAACTTCGCCTGCACTTTTTGCCTGTCTATTGCGGAAATTGTCTGCATATTTTTGTGAGTTCATAACTTTATGAACACCTCTACCGGACCATGCTTAGCACAAATCTTTATCTGCATTGCTCGTCAGATTATGATGTTACAAAATCGCCCTTTCATAAATTTTCTTTCATATTCGAAAGACGTGTAATTTGGCAGATGTTCTATCATACAATGTGCTACCAGCAGCAAAACAATGTAAGAAATGTTGTTAGCATGTCGAGTATCCATCTAAGCGGAAATTATAAGATTTGCTTCAAACATACATTCGAACAGTCATGACTTTGGAATGTGAAAATTCTTGGCGATGTCGGCGAAGTCGGCGACTTTGCATTTTCGCCGACATCGCCGAGTTCGCCGAGAATTTTCACATTCCATTGTCATCATAACTGTACAGTGCCTCGCCATGGTCGGACAAAATCCTTCACCTTTTTCAGTTGCTCCCGCAATAAGTCATATTTCTATTGATCTTCAATTAGGTCTGGCGCGTTTCGATAGACCAAAACGAGATCTACAAGACTATCTATATGTTTGCACAAAATTTGTTGAAATTTAAAGGCAGTGTCCCGACAGGTTCGCGCTCTGGGGATGTTGCTATGGTGGGATTCTTGGTCATCCCACTAACCTCCAGGCGCAGTCCAACTGGTTGATCTTCCCCCTGGGCCGAGAAGATGGCCCTTGAACCGGCGCGCGCAACCCCAATCGGCGCGCGTTCAGACGACTTCGCTTACCGGCGGCCGGTCGGCGGGGACCCCACGACCGCTCTCCCCCATTCTGTATGCTGTCCAAAGCAAAAATTACAGGAGCAGGGTCGTCGTGTCAGTGCCTCCCAACTTTCCACTAAAATGCTCCTCCGAGCTGCATTTTGGAAACTGGGTAAACGCCCCGAAAGAGGTCTTTTCATCCCTTTCAAAGCTCAGATTCGGGGTCTACGGGTCGAAAAGGTCTAAAACATGCAAAAAGATGGAAATGCAAGGTCTGCCGGGACACTGCCTTCAAGGGCGGAAATTGAAAACACTTAAATTCGAAAAAAAGAAGGAAAAATCTTATTTTCGCCAAGGAATTTCCACTAAATCCTTCTTGTTTAACTACTACTCTCCACTTCTCGCATTTACACATTGGATGGTAAACGAGAAGACAAAAATTTTAAGTGTCAGCCAAAGCTGTGGTGGACTCTTTACATAGGCAGTTTTATATATGAATCTTCAAAAATAATGATTGTTAGCTTTTTAGGAGCTATTAGTTTTTGAATACCAAATTTAGCCCGAAGTGCACAAAAAAGGAGCATGTATTTTTGGCTTACTTTCACTTAGTGGCTTTCACCTTTCCCAAGTTCGAGGAAAGGTAACTCAGCAAAGCACATACCTGAAATGCCCATTATAGAGAGCATGTAGGAAGTCTGTGAGATTTTGAATCGGTTCTATATTTTACCAATTTTTTGAGCATTGGCAAATTTGATTCGTCTGATATTCGAAACCGAAATCTTTTCAGATTTCGGTTTCGAATATCAGACGAAGCAAAAGTTGTGCAAGTGTTTAAGTACTTTCTTGCAAAGCTTGCTTCGCTTCGGTTTTGCAAATTCTGATTTTGATTGTTTTTGATTTTGAAATTTGTGATTTTTTGGCGCACTTTTCGTGTAAAATAAATAAATAAATAAATAAAATTCAGAGGACAAAAAGAATGTAACTTATTGTTGAAGAAAGTGAAAACGATAAGGAGCAATGAGACAACAACCTATGGCCGCGGGCATACCTCACTCAGTTTCACTGCGCGATCTAACAATTCGCTAAATGTCTTCAAATTCAATAATACTGACAGACCCAAATGCACAACATGTGCGACTCCCGGAGGTTGATAGGCCCTATCTTCCGTTCATTTGCTACTCACATTAATCCGGAAAGCCCTGCTCCTGTTAGATAACTAAACTAACAAAACAACAGAATTTTTGCATAGACTTACTTTTCAGGCAACTGCTCATCACCGATATCAACCGTCTTAACTGGAGCACCTCGAATAGCGCGAAGGTACTTTGGATCCATCAAATGCTGCATCCCTCTATTGCCTTCTGGGGTTTCTCCAACCTATGATCAAAAAGCGTTTTCTGTTGTCCGCTAGGCTACGGAAGTGCAAAGATGAAGTTCTACCTCAAACAATTTTTGGTGCTTTTTCAAATACGCAACAAGGTCTTCTCCTGTAAGCTTCTCAGCCTCATCTGAAATAGATTACTAGGTAACGGCTACTCCATGTTCTATATCTTCGGTTTTTGGTCGTGCAAAAAGTATCTAAACTCACATAAAGGGAGCTTCTTATCAATGTTTACTGCTAGTGCAGTACCTATTAATAAAAGGAAAAGTCTCATCCCAGTCAAAGGCGGCAGAGGTTGTACTCAACTCGGGTAGGAACAAGTGTAGTTGGAGGCTCCGTTGTTTATCTTCTACTTGCGTTTATAAGGAATCACACTGACAAATGCTAATAATCATGTAATGTAAGCCAATAAAAAATCGTTAAGCCTCCTAGTGTCAGAAATTATCTTTATGAACGCAATTGTAAAAAAAGTTCGGCTTGCAAGCCGCGGTACAGAAGAATTTTTCACGATATGATCAGTTTGATGCAAATATTTGGCTTCTTACTCCCGCAAAAAGAAATCAATTGGTCCGGTTGCCCTTACACACCCCTACAAGCATACAGAAAATATCTTGCTTAGTGTTTTAGCATTTCCATTGATAGTCTTCCACAAAACTACCTCAACAAAGCTAAGGTATTGAGATCGCAAGAGTTACCTCGAAAAAAAAAATTTCAATTTTTCGTAACTATCAGTTCCATTAACTTGTTGCTGCGCAAGACGAAATTTCGCAAATCAACAGGAATTTTTTTTTGGCAGGACTCAGAAATAGCCTTGCAAAAAAGTTTTCACGAATCTTTTCGACAGTATTTTTAGAACTCAAAGCGAAGTATGCTTGAGTTATATTACGTGTAAAACTATTTTTACCTACTGAGTTTAGTAGGGCAATTTTGAAAAGTTTTCAAAAATTCAGTTAGAACTTTCACTCTGCTTATAATGTCTAGGAGGCACTTGCTTTAACAAGCAATTCTTAACTACTGGTGTTCATTCAGCTCTTGTGTTTGCCTAAAATACATGAGCGCCAATAAATAAGAAAGCAAATTCGAAGCCGAATCAGTGCCTTCATAAACATTTATTGTAAGTGAAACTTTTCTATAATGATTGTAAGCAAGCTGTATTTCCATAAAGTCAAGATTTTTCATTTTTTCCTTCTCTTGGGTGGAGGTCTCGGTGGTGGTGGTTTTTTCGGCTTTGCAGCTTTTTTAGGTGTCTTGCTTGTGGCAGCTCTGGCTTTCGGTTTGGGCTTGCTGCTTTTTTTCGCCATCTTCTTCGGCGGTGGCGTTTTAGCTGCCTTGCCACTTTTCCTTATTCTTTCAGGTTTAGGTTTAGCCGTCTTAGGCCCAGCAGGGGTAAACCCTGCTTGACCTGCCTGTGGGGCTTCTGGAACTCCAGGAACCTGTGGAATATTGAAGAAGTCCTCCGCTGCTGCACCGGGCGAAACCGCTGGCTCAACCTGAATAAATGCGGACGACTGTAGGTATATGAAGAGCTACGAATTCCATTTAAATTTCATCCCTCAAAGGTGTTTTCTAATAAATTAGTTTCACCTGTTTCTCACCACCTATAGCACCCTCGGCGCCTTCGACAGCTTCAGCAGCTTCATCTCCAGGCTAAAAAAAACTTTCAGATTAGCACATTCCAGAACTGAATAAAGGGCCATCGTTCGAGCTATTGGCAGACAAATCCTCAAACCAGGGCCCGGCACAGACCGTTTGGAAGCAGGCTGGACTTCGTTTTTGGGGCGAAAAGCAAAGGAGGTATCGTTTTTGGCGAGTCGGGGCAGAGCACCAAGAATAAGCGCCATTTAGTCGAATACAAGCTTTTCGGACAGGTTATCACACGATTGACTTGCTCTATCGTGTATGGCGAAAAGTGCGCGCGATTTGAAAGCAAGGCTTGAATAAACAAATTGCTTGTTTACAGCGCGCACAGAATCATATGACACCAAAATTGAACTGTATACATAGAAAATTGTTTGCAAAGGAATTATGTAAAAAGATTTGAAAACTTATGTGAAGTAATACGTTTTCCAAAATTAGATCGTCTCTAGACGGCCACCAGACGATCTCAGATCGTCTGGAGCATATATTAGGTCATTTCAAAAGTTCGTTCGTCAATTTTTCAAAAAATCATAACTTCCCCCCTTTCCGGCGAAATTTTTTGAATAAATTTCTATTTAAAAGAGGAAACCTTTCTCTTTACAAAAGTATCTTTGCCATGAAATGGCGTGAGAAAGTTCGAGAGTTAGAAGCAATTGAATAAATTTACTCAAGATTGGCGTATTTTAAGCTGGATCACGAAAAATTCCGGAAGTATTTTTATTTTATAGAGAAAATTATGCTTATTACAATGGTACCTTTCCCATGAGTTAGAACGAAAAAGATTGAAAGTTATAAGCAAATAAAGAGAATTACTTCAGTTTTGCAATTTTTGACATGCCCAAAAAGCCCAAAAACGTCACGAAAAAAGGCGAGAAAGCCAAGAACAGGGGTTTTGTGACCTTCTCTCTCCAGCTAAGGGATTTTTGTGCTAAGAGAGAGCAATTTTGATTTTCATGGAAACGTATAGCAAATTCTTAAAAAAATCATTACTTTTCGTAGGAACAATCGTTCAGCAAGGAAATTGCCTAGCTAAAAAGACGAGGACATAAAACATATGTTTATTTTTGTTTCGGTATTTTTTGTAAAGTTTCAAGACTTTTAGTGAACTTTTTTGAAATTACCAAATTTTGAGTGGTCTTCTTTTTGCATTTTTAACTCTGCGACTTGTGCTTGGTAGAATGAATTTAAGCCATTGTCAGAAACTACATGATCTCTTTATTCTAGGAAAAATTATCTCAGGCAAATCTAAGCAGACAGCAGAGAGCTACGATTTTTTAAAGAACTATGCGAACGAACTTTTGAAATGACCTAATATTTTCGTCACTTCACATAAGTTTCGGATCTTTTTAGCATGGATGGATTCCCCGGTCAAAAATCTATCCCTGAGCATGAAGACATTTTCACATCATTGCCTTTCCTTTGTTTTTTGCCTTCATTTCTTCTCGCTTTGTTAAATATCGCGCTCTAATGCCAAAGTCTTGTGCATGCGTAGTATTCAGCTCCAACTTGAATTTTTACTCTTATCCTACGTCTTTTCTTTCAGACTACCCTAATTTCACGCGTATAAGGCGCGGGGGATTTTTTTTCAAAATCGACAGGCCCAGACACGCCAAAGGACTTTACAACCAATGGACCATATAACGTGCTGTATATTACTTGAGAGAATCGTGCGATGGAAGGATTTCTTTCCGGAATGCAGTGAAGCGGCTGAGCGGCTCGCTTGAAAATTCGGAAAAGTGCGCCTTATATGCGTGAAATTAGGGTAGTAAATCTTTCTTGTTCTCATCTTCTTCTAAACAGGTAGGTCAACGGGGACTTCGTAAAACTTCCGAAAGTCAGCGGAGACATCGTTTTCAGAAAACCGACTCGTGCCGGGCCCTGACCCAAACCAGTAGTTTTTCATTTTGCATGCTGTATTGTTTATAATCAGGGGAAAGGGGTAAAGGCGATAAAGAAGGGATGCTAGCAGTAAGCAGAGAAACTTTCCACAATACACCCAACTGCTTTATTTACGGTCTCAGACCTTCCAGTTGTACTAGGTTCATACCTTCGACACATAGAGCCATGTTCTGGTAACCATCACTTAGAAAGTCATGATAGAACACAACCTCACTTCGAGAAAAAAGAACAGGAATCATTCGGGGCAAAGCCCCGGATTTTATGACATTACTACATATGAGTGAATGTGAATAAGGCAAGTATCGTGAGTGATTTTTGAAAAAAAAAAGTCCAGAGAAGCAAAACATTCCATTCTCATAGCCTCTTCTGCTAAAAAGAAGGTTTTCATTCGAGAATTCCCCTAGAGTTCTCGAATGAAAACATTGAGTTTGAAATGACATTTCTCAGCTAACCTTTCTATAGACTACGATTGAGTGTTAGAAGCTCAGAAGGCTGTTGAAGTCCAAAAAAAACGGGAAACTGGCTTGAATCTTGTGCAGAGAATGCCATTTAAATGCTGGTTGATCTCGTTAAGGAGTGATTTTCAACATCCACGATGTTGTCAGTTCTCCTGGTCGTGTCGTGAGGATCGCAACGATATATGATGTTACAGGGTTTCGAAGACCCCGCCGAAATCTACGACCAGAGCCAAATGCCCGTCGGCTCTGGTCTGTCTCCTCTGTCGTCTGCGTCTTCGCGCGTTGGCTACCTCGCTACCCCAAACGCAGGGCGAGGGCATTTGACTACCCTTTTCTTTGTTGTTTTAAAATAACCCTAGCAAACTGCATATCATATTGAAGCTCTTGATCTCTACTTTCACGCTGACAACGTCGCGGAATTCTATTTTTTGTGAACGAGAAATCTGCCAAAAACCATGTTTTTGAAGTCACTTGTTTTCTGATATAATTTAGCTCGTCCCAAGTGGGTTTTATGTGCATTCCATACAACTTGCTCCCGTTCATAATGCAGACAACGTCGCGGGGCTAAATTCTTCGACTATGGTGAAATATCTGGCAGCAAGCTGGAAAAAATGCATTTTTGTTTATAGGACTTTATTGCAATTTAAGCAACCATTGCTTACATGCTTGGGTGCGTTTAATTCCGGATTATGAGCACAACAAAGCCAAAAACGTCGCCAGAAACAGAATATACGAGAAAGGGCTAAAAATTTGAAGGACGCATCAAAAACTAGGTTGTCTTTGATGTGCATTTCGACTTAGGAAAAAACAAAACCTTGCGTTCTCTAGCTGAATGATTTTCGTTTATTTTCTTCTTGATGATCATCACTTTCAAATTACGTTTGTTTCCAAAACAATCACAAAGAAACAACTAGCTTTTTCTCGTTTTTCCCCGTGCTAAAATCTTCCCTTTTGACGCCCTATCTCTAGACTATCGAAGGTATGACTAAGTTGGTGCAAAAGTAATGCACGTTTTTCTAGTCCTTGTTTCAGGACAACTTCTTTCCAACAAACTTTCTTTTATGAAAAAGCTTAGCATATAAAAAGGTCTTTTGATGCACTATCCAATGGTGGTTGAAGTGGGCTTCTAGCTTTATTCGTTAGAAATTTGTAGAGCTTCACAAATCCCACTCGAATCCAGAATTTCATTTACTTTCCTGGGCAGAATACAAGCGCGAATGAAGGCAATCTTTCGAAAATACAGCTAATCTATGTGATAAAAATTGCCTACTTCTATACATCTTGGAAATTATCTAGACTGAGATTTTGGCCCTCAATATGGGTGGTCGTTTTGGTCATTCCGTCACCCATAAAATTCCTCCTTTGAAGAAGGCAATCGCCAAATTTTTGCTCTTCTGTAACCGTGGGTGGCTTCTGTTGACAGTGTTTGACAAATGCTCAGCGTTCAGTACGCAGAAAATCAGAAAACTTCATAGTCTGGGACTTTGAGGTCTACGAAAAAAATGAAGAAAGCGGACAAGGCTACTCATGATTATACTGACAATTTCTGAAAAAGTTATGATCAATTAAAAGCAGGATTTTGGAAAAAAAACTTTTTTGCTTATTAGTTGATATTTTTCGGCCGGTGCGCGTTACCTTTGCACCAACCTAATAATATCAAAAAATATGAAATTTGTGCTACATATTCACCTTCTCACCGCCCATTTGTTGTTCTGGCTTCTCAGCTTGTTCTGCTGGACCTTCCTGTTGCTGAACACCTTCTATTTGCTCTTCCAGCTCCTCCATTAACCTTTTGTTTTCCATCGAGATAAGCACACAGTAAGCAATGGACAGCCACAATATTGGAGCTATTGCACCAGCTACTATTATCCAAAAAAGAACTTCAATGTTTTCGCTTGGCTGTTCATTGGAAGTCCTAGAATTGTAATTATCTAAAGCACTACAACAATTTATACATTTGGGCATGCAGTTACATACATCGCGTCAGGGACGCTATCCTCTGCTTCAGCTTTCCTGTCAAGGCTCGGCATGAGGTGGCTTTTTCAATTTTTCAGAAACGAAGTCCCCATAAACTAGGCCACAAAAATACGACATCATCTATGACGAGATCGTGAATTGATCAAAATGAGTAACGAAAAAAACAATGGGACAAAACATAATAAAAACTTTAAACAGACGAAAAAGAACCAAAAATGTTCGTTTTCTTTGAATTGGCGGCATGCTGCGTCCGGCGCGCACCCTTGTGCGCTTGGAACAAGCTTACGCGGCCGTACAAAATATTTGGAGGGTTGTAACTAGACGAGGAAGAGGAGGTTTGGGGAGATTCAAAAACTCTTTTGTAGGGTTTCTGTTGTGGAACAAAGTTATGTTAAACATGTGAGAAGATTATGTGAGGGAAGGGAGATTAATGACTTTTTCTTCTCACAGCCACTTGAGGTGGTCGTGCAGGTGGCTGACCACCTAACTTCGAAAAAAGTTGCGCAAAAAGTCGCCACACCTTCATTTCACATGAATTTTTCATAAATTTTTCGAAAGTAGTCCTAACTCCCCACTGCCCATCTATACACCAATTTTAGAGTCATTTCAATTTTTCTTCGCTGTAAACAAGTCCTTTGTTTGTCGCGGGGCAGCTTTGGATCCGCGCCATTAAAGACGGTGCCCGGGCAAGATGGGGTTTTGGGATTTCAGTGCCATGCGAGAGTGGCGCCCCTCAGACACAACATCGCGCAAGTGCGACGTCATAACGCTCGACCTAACCGGAAAGTGGGGAAACTTACGCCTTGGGGCGGGGTCCTCCGAGCTGTCCGAATTCCTGCTATGAGAGTACGCATGCCGCCACAGTTAAAATGTAGGGTACCGCAGAGACTCTGCGTCTCTGCCCTGGCGGGGACCGCCGAATTTCAATTTGTAAGGCTTTGGAAAACGCATGTTTTAGCCGTTTTCGCGCCTTCTAATGTAGATTTTCGGATTCAGCGTTGCGGATAACCCTGGGTTTCTGCCCGGACACTGCCTTTAACCGGCGAACCTGTTGAAAACAGCAAGCTTTTGGTTTTTGCGCTAAATGGGATCGATAAGGCAGGACTGACGATTTGCATCCTCTAAAGAAGATGAGAGGTGACATAAAGGGAGAAGGCGATTGTGTGTGTGTGTGTGTGTGGGGGGGAGGAGGAAGCTGGGGTTCCCGCTCAAACGATAACCCCCTTGCTTTTTATTCCAAAACGATATTCAGCTTTCCCCGTAAGCCACCTATGCCGAGTCCTGCCTGTTGTTGAAATGTCTTATTAAACTATCCGACTCTTCTTTTGGGGTCTGATTTTTGCAAACCTCTTAAATCTTTTCCTCTTTTCTTGCCGCATAGCGTCTTTTGCAGCTTGCCCATTGCTTCTTTTAGCATCTATAACAATTTCCTCTAAGCAATTCAAATAGAACATACAGCATCCATTCATTTCCGTTTATTTTCCCGAAATCTCTTATTGAATAAAGGCATAAATATTGTACTACATAAGACAAAGACTTTGATTTAATCAACATTTTTATTTTAAGTAATACCGAAGCAGTATTCATGCTGCACAACATCATCGAACCAAACGATTTTGAGTGAGAATTTGATACAGCAAAAGGTCTTTTGAAAAGTATGAGATGTGATTATCTTGCTAGAAAATGGCTAGAACGTTGATGGTTTAGCAACGTAACCTACTTTTTAGTGTAGAATTCTCTCCGAATTCGTATAATAAACAGTCAAGAATTTTATACGCGTATATCTGGCTGCTTGGATTGAAAGTTTTGTTGTAACGATGGTAAACAATATTGTACTTCGAACTGTAAGATTTTCGTAGAGCATTCTGGAAAAAAAATGATTTTATAAAGGAAAAAAGTCATTAAATTTCTATATAAGTTGGTTCGAAAGTTCGTTTGCATCTTTACTGGAAAATAGAACTTCCCATCCAAACGGAACCGCTTTACTTTTTCGATGAAGAAGTTATTTATTTGGAGACTTGGGTGTTTTCCTTTAAACACGGGTTGTAGAAGTAAAAAAAAATTTAGAAGAAAATCGCTCAGATTGTGATCTCAAGCAGGTTCAACAAACTACGAGAGAAGCCAAAACATATACAAATCTCTTGAGCTGCCTTTTTGGATGAGCATTATTTATGCTGTTTGAAAATTTTTAGGGAATTTATGATTCATGAGAATATTGATAAAGTTAGCTTTTTTGTGCTGTTTTTACAAAATCGTAACTTTCTGGAAACTCTCGATTGACACAAATTTTGTTGAGCTAGAAAGAGCGGTTAAGAAACACATGCTTGTGACGGTTTTGGTTCGCTCTTAGATTTTTAGTGAGCTTGCTTAAAATCACCGCTGCTTGAATAATCTTTCTCTCGCAATTTCTTCCTGCAAGCATTCAGAAGAAACTAACTTATCACTGAAAACTGAAATCATTGTAATTCAATAAGGTCATAACAAGTTATTTAGGTAGAGGGAAGTTACAACTTCTCAGGACTTTTGGAAAAATCTCGAACGAACTTTTAGTCCAACCTACTAATTTTTCGCTTTTTCAAATCAAGCGTTTTACGAAGATCATCTATAGAATTCCCTATTGCTCTCGTATCAATTCATGAAGGAACATACAAGCACTAATTTGGTTTGCGAGTTGCAAGCGTTTTGGCAGAAGCAAATAGTATGATTGTCAGAAATAACGCAGAATTCATCCATTCTCTGAAAAACAGCTTTTGGTCTGGCAAACACTTCTATTATGCTTACCTGAAAGTATGGTGGAAGTTGGTGGAAATAAGCAAAAACTTTTCTCACAAAACTCGCATTTTTGATCTTGCAGTAATTGTAGTCATATGTGAATGTAAGAGAACAAACAATATTATTCATCGAAGCGTTGACAGGCTTAAATTAGCCGGGAAGAATATAGAAAAATCACAAGTAATTCGATAATTTTTCTGAGTTTCGTGAGTGCGCATATTGCTTAGTCTTCAAGAACAGCTTTTTTCATAAAAACTACTTCGGCTGCAACTCAAGAAGAAAGAAGGCCGTAATCTGCGCTAAGAATGTCGGATGTTATGCTACGCTGATTTACCACCATTACCACAAATTTGAACATCTGCAGATTTTCGTAGCTAACAAGAACAACTGTAACTTATTCCCTTACTCATTGTTGATCTTTGTGATACAGGCGCTAAAATTTTCTATGCGTATATAATCGGCTCCCAGATTCGTGTGAAGGCGGGTTGCGGACCTCCTAATTACAAGGATAAGCTTGTTAGACTTCACGTCACATCATTATTTTTCGTATTCTCTTGATAACTTCATCCTTGTAATCAGGGAGAGTCCACGTCCCTCCTTCACACAAATATGGGAGCCGATCACACCACGTTGATCGGGGGGCATGCGCAAAATGCAAGCATTGTAAAACCGCTTTTTCTGCCTCTTACAGAGTTTTACTTATGGCATTGAGTCATGTGTCTTCCTCCACCCCCCCCCCCCCTACCTTAACGCCGTTCACTTTAGCACAGAATTCTGAAAGCCACAAAATTTGGGATTATCGCATCCCCCGCCCCCCACGTTGGTCCAGTGCATGCAGTGGACATAACTTCGCGTCGATTAAAACTAGTTGTGCAATTACACGCAAGCTCAACGGGAATGCGGCAACCGCGCTTCGGTAGCCGGGTGTGGTGCGGAAGGCGACAAAACCCAGTAGAGGCGAGGGAACGGTGGCCACGCCTCCAACTTGCCTGCTGTTTAGTGCTGGCCTCGAGTCAATTAGACAGATTGACGCTCTTGTGGCGCATAGGCTGGCGCGTGAATGGTGGCGATGTCCTCCTCGACTACTCTGTTTTGTCCATGAGAGTTCGTGTGCAAATTGGTAGGAGTGATCACTCAGTGTACGAAGGAAAGATTACGTTTTTCAGTGTAGATTGTTTAATGATAGCTAACTGATTGCAGTGTGAGATTTCGCAGCGAAATTCGATTTCGGTCACATGCTACTCACAAACCATATTTCGACTAACTTCCAGATTAAGTGAGAATAACCGAGTTGCATCAGTGTACTATGCGGTTATGTGGCTATCACTCGGATAGAATTGAATTGAACACAATGAATGTTGCAAAGCAGTTCCTTTCAAGGCTCAAAGTAAGAAAAACCTCATTTTCTGGCGAAATGTCAACATTAGTTTGTATCTAGGCGAACCGCAAACTCGATAAAGCTTCGCGACCTATGGTCTTTGTCGATGCTTCAAGTTTTCATAGTTTTTCTGCTTTTGCTTGACAGTGCAAAAAAGAACACTTTATTCACAACAGTGATTGCACCAGAGTATAGGACAAAAAGGAAATGATACAATGATAAATGATTTGGTACATTTTACCTGTAGGTCCACCCTGAAAAAAAATGAATCACAAGGAAAGCCGAATTTTGATGTAGAATACAACTTTACAACAAAAACAAAAAATTCCTGTACTGAGTTTCCAAAGTTTTTCTGTAATTCTATTTGTGCCACATAGTCATTATCGACAATAGTATCTACAAGGGACCATTATGTATTGAAATACTGCTTACAAGTGAGTGAAGTCACGTTAACTTACCATCTCTTTGAGAAAAGAAAAGAATCTACGACCCTTAGATAACGATATTAAACACCATATAAATGCACAAAAGTGAGAAAAAGCAACATCTAGCATTGATAACTCGAGCGTAAGTAGCACAATTACAGAATGCTCACATCAATGGCTCTTGAGCTCGTCTCTGTTTGAATGCACTTATGGACATCCACCCTTCAATGACAGGAAACGGTTTGCGATGTTAAAGCAGAAAAGGAGTGAGTGAGAGCGCTTACCTTTCATAAGTCCATAGCTACGGCTCACGAAGTTGAAAGCAAGACTTTCTGCGTATATCTGAACTAAAATGAAATGAATAAGTCGCACAAACAATTTGATGATGACAAAAATGCTAACTATGAGTAAGGCGAGAACATTCATAAAGTGATATTGACTAAATAAGCAAATTGTAAAATGCAAAAGTAGAAAAGGACAGGACACAAGAAAAAATCATACCTCTAATGAATCAGTGGACAAGTCCTGTTAAGTCGCTCATGTGTATGTACGTCTTCTATGAGGACTCCTGCATCAAACATTACTCCTGTGAGCAAAGATGTTTACACAGAACGTGAAAGATATATAACTAGTAAATGATAGATACGAACAGAGACAAAAACGTCATCGCACAAGAAACGAAACAGGTAGAAAGCGTGCAGTCGCGCTCCAGTACAAAGATTTGAATGGCTGATTGGCGGAGAACTCGGACAGGGCGTGGCCACTAGTCGCGCCCGTTCCAGGGCATTTGTCGCCTTCCGCGTGTTCCCCTCGGTAGCCGTTTCTCTCCTTTTCTTGACCCGTTTTTAGTCAGAACTGCCTTTCTGTCACTTAGAATTATGCTACTAATTCTTGCACTTTTAGGCAATTTTGATAGCGTTGATCCTACTGGGTCGAACGTGCTCGAAAAGCCGGAGAGGGTTGCGAACTTGTTTTCGTAGAATCGTAGAATAAAAGACAGCTATGAGTGAAATTCTTCGATATCTGTGTGAAGTTGCTTCTGGGCAATTGCCCATGAAGGAGATCATCCACGTGAGTTTCTTGGAGCGAATTTAGTTTGAGACTGTGCTTATATCACTTATGAATTGTTATTCTCAGAATAACGAGAAATACTATGCATTTGGAGATCGTGCATATCACAAGGATACTGAGACAAATCTATTGGTGAGATCTGTTTCCATTCATTCTCTGATTATTTTAAATTCAAAAGTTGCTGCATTTGGGCCTTTGATTTCATGTGCGTGAGTGAGGTGTGAGCAATAAGCTTTCATGTTTGTTTGTTCCCTTAGGCACTTTACTTTCTTGTTTTTCACTTCTAAGTTTCTGTTAGTTGTTTGCTCCTTTCACTAAATATGTGCTGTACAGGTTTACGGCAAGCAAAACGATTATTATACCATTGATGCACTCCTGTTTCTTTGGGAACACCGTGCCAAGACTCATCCGTCTTATGTTCGTGATGCTACTGCCGCCAATGTTAAAGTTGTTTCACGTCCTGATCGGTATGCTTTTTTCATATAATATGTTTTAGAATGTTGCTTATCTTCAATTTTGTCCCTGTGCTCACTATTTGTGAAACAGTGCCGGTCTTCTTGAGTTGCATTGGTACATTAGGCTTGAATAGCTTTTTTTCTAATTTACAATTAGGTAGGAATTGTATCTTCCTGTTCAGATTGATACAGGTCCTATGTTGCCATTTTGGAAATTTCGAGTTGGGACACTTTCGCCCCATTAACATTTTTCTGACCAGATATTTGTCGTTTACCATCCCGCTGCTTTGATCATTTCGAAACAGGGATCTGATATGTTTGCTCGCATTCAACAGCAACTTGCTTCTTGCTTATCAGTGTCTTTCAAGACTCCCCTAAATGAATGGTTGCGTTTTAGAAGGGAAATTCTCGACTATCTTAGTGGGAATCGCACAGAAATTCCCACAAATCACAACCCTTCACATGCTCCTGCTCCCGGTATCGCTATCAGTCGCCTTGTCCCGGAGACCATCGAGGAGCCAGAAGCAAAAAAGTTGAAGCTAGAGCACAATGCTAGGTTCGTTTATCTCCTGCTTAACTTCGTTCGCGGTGAAAAGTTCTGAGCAAAGACATTTAGGGGGCCCCGCGTAGACCAGCTACTCAATAAGGATCGCGTTGATCCTTCCGAAGTCCGTGCACTAAATGAGTCTCTCACAGCAGATAAGATTGCTGCGCTGAAACAAAAGAGGCTCACACATCAGAAAACAAAAATTGCAGCCGTTGATCCGTTAGTTCACAGTATCTTCTGTCTCACCACCTCAACACAACATCGTACGTTGTTCAGGGAAATGATCTCTGGCGGAGCACCTACGGAACCTCTAGTCACTAGATACTCTATGGATGTGCGAAAAGTGGAACGGGTATACAAAACTAGGAAAACAGTGATGAATGCAACCAAGAAGACCTACACATTTTTGTTTGATGTTTTGAAACTCATCAAGGTATGCTTAGTCAAACTATAAAATTACTTTGACATCAACATAACTTGTAGACTCGCGAAGAGGCTGCAAAGCTGAAAGAGCGTGGATTAGATTCGTCTAAAGCCACCCCTGCTAAATTCGTAGGAATGTACAACAGATACGATCAGGAGCGGTTCGGAAAGGTATCACTATTATAGTTCGTTTTGCCCATAAATCAGCCGGTATGTATAGCTCAACGAATTCCAAACCATGGGCACCTCTTCATTCGTTGGAACTAATCTCAGTTCTATCAGTTCCTTTCAAGAGAATCAGACAACGGAGAGTGAGTTTTTTTTCAATTTCTGTTTGTTTCTTGTTCAGTCCAATTGGCGATATTTTTACTGTTAGTATCAGTGGTCATAAAATTATGGTATGCAAGTCTCTCGAAAAACTTGCCGAAAGGCTTAGAAAACGTGTGCCATCTGCTCGCAAACGCGCCAGTGAATTTGAAGCGACAGAGTTGAGGGGAAGTTCTTGCATGTTTGTGTTGCAGATTAGAATCTTGTGCTTTCTTATTTTTATACCGTGACACTTAATTTGACATGATTTTGTTTAGAAAAAAAAACATCAGCATCGCGCAATCATGCATCAAGACTTGCTACCACCTTATCTTGAAAACTACCATCCTTAATGCTCTGACTTAAAGACTTCAAAATCCAATTTAGAAACCATGGAAATAAGTTTCTATCTTCATACTTTCACAAGCATCATTCCAGTTGCTGAAGTCCAAAAGCAAGAAGAGAAACGGGCAACGCTGACTCCTGTCGTTCCTCAGTATGTGAATTCCCCAGACGAGCCCAAAAAGCGTGTCAGCCGCACGCCTATCATCATCATTCCATCAGCTATGACTTCTCTACTCACCATATTCAACGCTGCAGACATAATTCAGGTATGTAACTTGCAGTTTGTGAGTGGAAAGCCTATCCTCGATATTTGAGGATATGAACTTTGTAACGACGGAAGAGAAGCGAAAAGAGAAGGGCATGACGCGGAAATCTCAAATTTACATACAACGTAAGAAGAATGACACTACAGATGAGTTTACTGTACAGTCAAGCATAGAATGGTTCAACTAAATCTGGCTCATTTCTGTTTACTTCCCTACTTGATAGTGGATAATCCATCCAAGTTTACTGATGCTGAATGGGATCGGGTCGTGGCAGTATTTATAACGGTAAGCGAAGGTTTATCGTAATCAGACTGTTCGAAACATGATTATTTAGGGCCAACTGTGGCAGTTCAAGCCCTTCAAACGGTGGCATAGCAATCCCGTCGAGATATTCGCGAAAATTCCTGCATTCCATGTACACTATGATGATTTAAACGTTAGTGATCAATTTTTCTTTTCACCAAAGTTATCCGTAATCGTTCGTCCTTACCAAAGTTATCTGTGATCGTTTTTCATTGAAAATTAGGTGAATCATAAGCGCTCATAATTCCAGTTTGTGGTAAACTCCTCATCGCGCTAATGTTTGTATGGAGTTGAAATACTTCACCGGGATACCGCGGCTGGAAAGCCAAAGTTGACTTTTATGGTGTTGATGAGGTGTTTGTCGGAACGAAACAGTGGGACGCTGTTAGCAGCGCAGCAGCATAGCTGATTATCTTCCAGCATGATAGTGTGCTAGGCTGTTTAGCAAACTGTAGGACGGGCTAAGAAATGTAAAACCCTTCATCTGCTCAATTTGTTTGCTGCCTTGCAGGTGGATCCAAATGTTGCAAAATGGAGCGTTACCAGGTTGCCGGTATCTCGATCAAAGCGGCATATGGACAAAGCTCGATTTCGAGTGCTTTGGGAGGTCTTGGACAGGTGGATCCCTGCCAACCGACCGCACCTGCGGTGGTAGTCATCGCTTTTTGCTCCACTGTTGCATGTTGTGGGGGCTGTGCATTTTTTGAGCTGTTTGAGCTCGATTTCTTCGCTGGAAAATGAGCTGAGCATCATATTGTCTGAGTCGCTATCACATGCGCCCATACAATTCAAGTTTCAACTGATGTTAAATCATTTGTAAATTGGTTTTCACGCTATGGTCCAGGGTATCTAAAAATCTGAAATCTAAGCTTATTTCGTAGCAACCTCTCAGTTATTTATCCGTTGTTGTATAGCATTCATATTTGACTTGCATGATCTACGCAGTGAATCGAGATTTTATACATGTTTGCAGCATCTGACGTACCTTGAGTTCAAGAACTTGCTTTTGGAAAGGCTTTTCAAATGCTCCTTGAGCACAAAGCAGTTGATTGCTCTTTGTTGGTAGTAGCCAGATAAACATCAATGCTAGCCACATGTATACATGGGTTCTTCTGAATCGAATGTGTTGTAAGTGAAGAAGGCGGGTTCAGCCTCACAGGAAAATGCTGGGTTACAAATGGAAAACACCGGTCGTCAAGTTGAGAACTCATTTGAGTAATATGTTTTGAAGCGATAAGATAATAGCATATGGTGAGTTACAGGAAAGTGGCAAACCCTGACTGTTCTCTCTTCACTCGATTTTATCAAGCAAAACGAATGAGAATCAAGTAAGATCAATGTTTTCATTCATTGATCATTCACTCATTCATTCGTTCATTCATTAGTCATGTAAAACAACAGTGACAGAACCACCACACTTTTCCGAGCTCAGTGTATTCTTATGTTGCAAAGTATAGTGTATAGATTTATTTACGCGAACATGTCATAAGGTTGTACGTAACAGACCTAGTTTGTAAAACTCATGAAGAAGTACTCGAGTCCCGGTTTGTCGGCAAAAATCACTCGAGTCCCCTCGTTTGTTGGCAAAAATCAATCTCAGTTTTACTTCATAAAAGCGACGGAGAGGGGCACGAAGAAAATTTTTTCGAATGAAGGTGCGTGATTAGCCATGCACCGAAAAAATTTTTGGCAAGCTTTCCAAACTTATCGCGGCTTGTGACCCCGAAATTTGAAAAAAGGGGGTGTGGCATCAGCTACGCCTTCGAAAAATTTTCAAGGCTAATATGAATTCTTTGAAAATTATTTCAAACAGCGACCTGGCTGAACGCCCGCGAGCGCGTTCGCGCGCAGGAGTCATCATAGCGCCCATACTCGGCAGCTGCGTTGCAAGCACGCTCTCGTGCGAGCCTACAGCGATCCGGGCAATGTCATGCAGTCGACTTTATGAACAAGTCAGTTGTACATTTTTATATCCACATAAGTAACGTTATAAAATTTTGCGACCCATTGTCGGGGCGATTCTACCCTAAAAATGGTACTAACCCGTATTCACGAATTATCAAGGTCGAATTTGACCCTAATGTAGAAATTTACCTCAATAAGTCTAAGGTAAGTATAAACCCTAAAGGCAGTGGATCGGCAGAATGGACCTTTCTTGGATTTTGGTAGGATTAGGTAGGAGACTCCTCAAGTACACTGTAGCCCAAACCCCACGTGCCAATTCATGCGCTAAGTCCTGAGAAATGCGCTTCAAAACTCCCAATACAAGTTTTTTTGTTATATCATGACACTATTGCAAGGTCTAACCATCTCTTTTCTTTCCCAGCTTTGCAGTTGAAAGCTTTACGGTTTGTGACATCGGCCTGCAATCATTAGCATCAATCTTTTCCCAGAGCTTGGTAAGGATTTCCAGTTATTCTCGGTAAGTTTTAGTTAGAGAAAGGCATGTGGTCTACGTTACCTATATGATCGAATAATGGTAGCGTAAAGTAAACCACTTTTTGTGTATGTCGAAAACGGAGTCATATAAGAAACCTTCTGCATAAACCACTGAGCCTAAAAAAGATCAAGTACGTGCACATGCAAGTTCGTCTTAGGATAGATCCTCGAAAGATATTGCCAGAGAACTATGCGCCCCAGTTACAACAGTGAATGGAATACGTTTTGGTGCATGTGTTTTTACATTATAAATCAAGAGTCAAATTCATGTCCTAATAGCGATACTAAACTTGGGTCATATAGGGGCCTGCAGGATCGCGAGAGTCGGACGCGCGTACGGCCTTTGCGCCGCGCACGCCTGATATCGCTGGGTCGTAGTCGATTAAGGCTAGATAGGTAAGTTTTTTTGTTTTTCTTTACATTTCACGCCTTCTTTTCTTTTCAGACGGTGAGCACATGTTGGTGCGGAGGAGTTTAAGATCTGAATTAAGGTGAGGTGCAGGATTATGCTCAATACGGACTCAATATTGCAGACCTTCCATGCCTGCTGGTTGAGATGTTGGATTTTCTGTCCTGGCTGCCCTGTTACAGCAAACTGTTCTATCTCTACCGTCTATTCTACCTTATCTTGCATATTGCTTGTAATGATGATGATGATGATGATGATGACAATGATTATGATTGTGATGACGCGCATGATGCAAGATGAGGTAGAACAGACGTTGCAAATAAAACGGAGTTTCGTAACCGGGCAGGTAGGACGAAAAATCGAACATAATCGGACAGCCAGAACAGAAAACTCAACATTCTTCAAAGCAGGGGTGAAAAGTCCACAATATTGGCCCGTATTGAGCATAATCCTGCACCTCACCTTAACTTAGATCTCAAACTCCTCTGCACCAACATATGTTCGCCGCCTGAAAAGAAAAGAAGGCGAGAAATGAGAAGAAAAACAAAAAAATCTCACCTATCCAGCCTAAATCGAGTACGACCCAGTGACATACGACGTGCGCGGCGCAATGGCCGTACGCACGTCCGACTCTCGCGATCCTGCAGGCCCCTATACTGCGAACATGCTGTTTTGGCGGCGCAGTGGCGCCGAAGTGAGAGTTGATTACGAAATTCATTGGCACCAGTGGGTCCCGCTTCGAAATGTCGCTATTATAATTTGATAAAGACATTGTGCGTGTTAGCATATAAACAATGCAACTCTAGAGTTTGATCGGACCACCATAAGCGCGCCCCTCCCCTTCCTCCTAAGTAATGCGCTGGATAATACAATTCTTGAAGCTTAAATTACTCCTCTATACATGCAGAATCCTCTCTAGACGGTAAACTAGCGCAGAAACTCTATTCACAAACTTTTGAAAATGTCATATGCCATGTCAGTGTTTTCTGTTCAACGAAGTAGCTTTGGACCTTAGGAGATAAACTTAAATGAAAGCGAGCTTGAGACACATAAAATGTTGGAGTGGCGGCTTCCCCGGACCCCGCTAAAACGATATCTTCTTTGCTTTTCTCTTTCAAAACGACTTCCAGCCTGACATCTGCTTATCTCATGGACGCTAGTTTCGCCAAATAATCATGGCACCTTGCTGGTTAGTGAAGTAACAGGCCGTCAGAAGATAGACAGTCATACTGTGATAATGATTGAAGCATCACATCATATAATGTTTTCGACCGAATTCCACCCATCACTCTTGATTTACCATCTGTACGGCTTTTTAAACAAAAGAAAATAGCTGTCTTTTAGGATTAAAAATACCACCACACAAAAGTTTTCAGACGTCTTGAAAAGCTCCAAAATGGCGGTTAATTGCGATAACATCATGGTTGTAAGTTTCTCCCGTAATCTGCGGTAATGAAGAGCGGTTGATGATTTGTTTCCAATGCGAATTCAAAAGAGCTAGTTGAAAACGTGCCACTCAAAGGTACGCGAAAAGAATTTACACAAGAGTTTCAAGCGTATAATTATTTGACACGCCCTGTATATGTTCTCTATAGAAATGTTTGCGCGGACCAATCTTATATATAAAGCTGAATGTCTGTTTGTCTGTATGTATGTGTGTACGTATGTTCCGAATAGAAAATTCCATTTCTGAACCGATCCGGACCAAACTTGGCACGCATACATTTCGGGCCCCGGCGGGTGTCATAGGCCACTTTTCGTATCGATCGATATCGATTTTATCGATTTTTATCGATTTTTTTGCTGAGTTCACCTACGGAGCTGGGAGTTGGCACAGGGGGGTAATCGAGCATGGGGATTCCGAATACAATATTGGTTTTCAGGATTATCGATTACTTTTATCGATTTTATCGATTTTTTTGCAAAGTTTGAGCTACGGGGCTGGGAGTTGGCACAAGGGGGTAATCGAGCATGGGGATTCCGAATACAATATTGGTTTTCAGGATTATCGATTACTTTTATCGATTTTATCGATTTTTTTGCAAAGTTTGAGCTACGGGGCTGGGAGTTGGCACAGGGGGGTAATCGAGCATGGGGATTCCGAATACAATATTGGTTTTCGGGATTATCGATTACTTTTATCGATTTTATCGATTTTTTTGCAAAGTTTGAGCTAGGGGGCTGGGAGTTGGCACAGGGGGGTAATCGAGCATGCTGATCATCCCCAAGGGGGGTGATCAGCATGCTCGATTACCCCCCTGTGCCAAATTCCAGCCTCCTAGCTCAAATTTTCAAAAAATCGATAAAATCGATAAAAGTAATGGACGATCTTGAAAACTAATATTGTATTCGTAATCTGCATGCTCGATTACCCCCTGTGCAAACTCCCAGCCCCGCAGGTCAAAATTTACAAAAAATCGATAAAATCAATAAAAGTAATCGATAATTCTGAAAACCAATATTGTATTCGGAATCCCCATGCTCACTTCCCCCCCTGTGCCGACTCCTAGCCCTGTAGGTGAACTCCGCAAAAAAATCGATAAAAATCGGTAAAATCGACATCGATCGATAACGAAAAGTGGACTGTGACACCCGCCGGGGCCCGAAGTGTATGTGTGCCAAGTTTGGTCCGGATACGGCGGAGCCGGGTAAGCCAGCTAGTCAACCTATAAGCTACTTTCCAATCAAAACACGGTGAAGGTTCACAATATGTGCTTTGCATTATTAATTTTTAATAGGATGTAAGTATGTTCGGAAGAGATAATCAATGATTAAGCAGAGTTTTCACACAGCGTCATCATTTTTTTCTTCTGTGCGGTGTGTTTTTCTTTCTTGGAGCTTTTGTCATCTTCTTTGTTTGCTTCAACTTCCTAACTGGATCCCCGCGTTCCTTTTGATCGTAGAGTTTTCGTTTCTTTCTATGCTTTTCATTGAGGTTTTCGAAGGAAGTTTCTACCCCCGGCAATTCCATGTGTACATTATTATCATGCCCTTTCTGTTCATATTGAGGGTCAAGCGTTTCGAAAATATCCGGTCTTTGAGTGGGGTCGTGATATTCTAACTCTCTTCTAGTTTCTGCTTTGCCAGATTGTTCATTTGGATTTGCAGCAAAGTATGCACTGTCTTGATATGGATAAGCAGGATAATAGCCATAAGGATAATTGCCATTAACGTATTGCTCGTTTCCAGGTTGGTTGTAGACATTGTTCGGATCATAGCTATCCAAATCTTGTAGAGGAGCAAGTGTTCGAGCTGAACATTTTCTCATTTTACCAAGGATGGAATCTTATATCCAACCTTTTCTAGCTGCAAGCGTTTCCTCAGGCGCGGCAGTGGGAACCGCCGCATCGCCGTAGGTGTACGAAGGTCTTAGAATAGCGTGTCGATATAATCGTAGTTTTCTTGGTGTTGCCTGTAGAGTACAAGTGTGAAAACAAAACACTTAGTGGTCTTTGTGTTTTTTCTTGTTTTACAAGATTAAGAGCTCGTGGCGTACTATTAGGTTGAACCGAAAGTTCTGTCGCACTATTTTCAAAAAATCGTAACTTCTTTCATTCACGACGATTCTGCGCAATTCAAATTTCGTCTGAAAGCGTAAAGCATGTAGTTTCCAAAAGCTCTCTGGGGAGTTTCCAACATGCTCAGGTGGCAGAGATAAAAATGAAAGAACGGGATCATCCGGAATTCGGAATTTTTAAGCAAGAATTCTAGAAATTCAGAAACAATGCGATAAAATCCAAAAAAGCCATTATCCTAAATTTTCTTATATTTGGTTACTATCTGAGTCAAGTTTCTTAAGATTTCTTAGGGAATTGATTTTTCGACATTTTTTTTCAAAAAATCATAACTTTTGAAAGAAGGGCTCGATCAGTACAAACTTGACCCAGTTAGTAATCAAATATAAGAAAACTTAGTATGATGGCTGTTCTGGATTTTATCGCACATTTTCCAGATTTTTAGAATTTCTGCTTAAAAATTCCGAATTTCGGATGATCTCGTTCTTTCATTTTTATCTCTGCCACCTGAGCATGTCGGAAACTCCCCAGAGAGCTTTTGGAAACTACATGCTTTACGCTTTCAGACAAAATTTGAATTGCGCAAAATCGTCGTGACCGAAAGAAGTTATGATTTTTTGAAAATGGTGCGACAGAACTTTCGGTTCAACCTAATATAATCACAGCTATGGAAACATACCGGCTTTATCCCAGGAGGATAACGAGGTCGCTCCTGAAAAGCAAGTTCGAAGCAGTTTTATTTTATTCGGTCCCACTTTTGCCACATAAAATATAGGAGGTAAGTAGAATTTGTTGATTTACGAAAAAAGCACTCAATGTTGACAGTTCTATTAGGTTGTCCGGAAATTAATGCCCGTTTTGAATTTCAACCGCAATAAGTCATACACCTCTCACTTCTAAATAGGATGGAGAGTACCATTCGATAGAGCAAAACAAGCTCTACAAAAAGGCCGTCTTGCTTTTGTAACAGCTTTCATCCACCTCAAGTTTCGAGCCAAAAACTAAAAAGACTCAGCAACTCGAAAAATCGTAACTGAGTTCACAAAGATCCTACAAAAATTCTTACTTGCTCACGTAAACACTATCCACATCAAACATCTATTTACGCCCTTGCCAAAGAAAACGGAAATTTTTGTGCATTTGCTAAAGTGATGCTGTGCCGTCCCCACATAGGTAGTTGTATACCACAAGCCTGTAGAAGTACAGACTTAAATTTTCAGCTCTCTACAAGCTTTAGTTCTCGAGGAATACCGAATATAGCTTTCCTTAGTTAGGTGGTCCAAGCTAAAATTCAAATTTCTTGAGAACTAAAGCTTGTAGAGAGCTGAGAATTTACGTTTGTACTTCTACAGGTTTGTAGTATACAACTATCTATGTGGGGACGGCACAACACGACTTCGGCAAATGCACGAAAACTTCCGTTTTCTTGATTTCTAGCAGAGGAAAAAATACGGCAAAGGCGTATATAGATTTTTTATGCGGATAGTGTTTACGTGAGCAAGTAAGAATTTTTGTAGGATTTTTATGAACTGAGTTACGATTTTTTTCGATTTTCGGGCTGCTGAGTCTTTTTAGTTTTTGGCTCGAAACTCGAGGTGGATGAAAGCTGTTGCAAAAGCAAGATGGCCTTTTTGTAGAGCTTCCTTTACTCTATCGAATGGTACTCTGCATCCTATTTAGAAGTGAGAGGTGTATTACTTATTGCGGTTGAAATTCAAAACGGGCATTAATTTCCGGACAACCTAATATAACAGCCCGAACTATAAATCTGCGTGTATGCTCAGAAACAGCCTAAGCTGAGAATTTGCTTTCACATACTTTATTGCAAATTGTTCTTCAATTATAACAACATCGAATCTGCTTGCGAAACTTTGCAAGATGAGGCACGCTCAAAGTCACAAAAACACGCGGACTACTCACAGTTGAATCCGTTCGTTTTTACTTTTTAGATGAATTTGCCATTTAAATACCGTCCAAAAAAGCAGCGTTAGTAGTTTCCTGAGCTTGCTTTACCTTTGGACGCTGTTCCCACTGTCACCGCTGTTGCTGCTTTACTGAAGTTGATTGATGAAACGATCAGTATTGTCTCAGAACTTCGCAGGGTGTGCCAAAATAATGCATCGAACGTTTGACTGCAACAACTCTCTTGTATGAAAAGTATTCGCTTTTAAACACTATATTATATCGCTGGCTTTAAATAGGTCTATAGTATGGAGCAAATTACTCGTCTCTGTTTTAGCCTACATCCTTGCTGATTAGCCGTGTTTCAAAGAAAAAATTTCGAAAAGTCTAGGAAGTTGTGTATTGAGCTTTTCGCACTGATGCCATTACTCAATTTTCCACAAATTATAAAGCCCTTGAAAGGTGTAAACACAATTCTAAGGAGCACTGCAAAAACCGCCGTTGAGGTTTGATTGGTAGTTTGCAGATATCATATTCAATGTGAGCAGCCCTGACTAACTCAGTGCAAGAATCAGAATTGTTAGTAATTTAGTCAAAACCGACAAATAATGCGATGGTTCAATCATGTTGCATAGTGGTAACCATAATCATCTTCTGACCACCTCTCATCAATCGGTCATACAAAAACATGAAACGTGTCAATAGCAGACGACTACAATGATTGTTTTAATTGTTCCATTCTCAACCACATATCCAGCTGGTCAACATTACTGTTTTGCTATCAGATAGTGTAATGAAACAATACTTTGTTCGATGAGACGCAAACGTGAAAGCATCATATCATTGTTGAAGATGAAAAAGTACCCCTGACCACTTTACCATTTGAAACAGAGATGTGATGGTCTTACACAGAGTAGAACGAGTATATATAGAAATTAGAATGAGATCAGGAAAAACAATAGGCTAAAGTGTATATTCCCCCACAATGGTCGGTCGCCTCATTGTGGCGTGGGGGTGACACTGGGTGCCGAACTGCGATGCACAGCCGAGTGTATACTCTGGTAGGGCCTCCCAAGCTGTGAAGGAGTTCGACGTTTCCGGTTTCGGCCGGATGCCTAGCTAAGAGCCGGCCAGGCCAGGTCTCCCGCCGTCTGATTTTCTTTGGTCGCTAGGCGGTCCCTCCCCGCTCCAAGCCCGGGGTCAGCGATCGCCCCGTGGAAATCAAGAGTAGGCCTAGTAAGCCACCTCTTGTAGGGGAAAATTCATATCACTCCTCCAGTTAGAAGATTAGAAAAAAACCCTGCACATCGTATCCCGCCTACGGCGCCGGGTGGTAGCAAAAACGATGTCAGGGTACTCAAGGCGCCTTTTGGATTGGACGAAAAGATACGTCTGCCCAGACGACACGCCATGGAGAGTGCCTCATGCTCTGCACCTACAACGCCAGAACAGTCTCCACAAACGCCGACCTCCACGCTCTTCTCGACGCTGCAGAGCACATCAACTACCACATCATCGCTCTGCAGGAAACGAAGTCCAGGAAGAAGAACGTGCGACAGATGAGTGATGGGACCCTCATCATTCGTGGTGAAAAGGTTCCAGCGCGAAACGTGGGAGGCGTCGGCTTTGTCGTCCACCCATCTATCGTCCATCTTGTCGATTCGCACGAGATCCTGTCACCTCGACTGGGCATACGACTACGCCCTCCACGTCAGAAGACCATCAGCATCATCAACTGCTACTCGCCAACATCAGCAGCTGACGACTCAGAACTAGATGCTTTCTACGAAGACGTGGAGGAGGTCGTCCGCAACGAAAAGTCCTTCTACAAGTATGTTGTGGGCGAGTTCAATGCGAAAATCGGGATGCCACTAGAAAAGGAATATAGGATCGGGAAGTTTGGATATGGGCTCCGAAACGAAAACGGCAACCGTCTCGTTGGGCTTTTCTCCGCCGCACGACTCTTCCATGGAAACTCCATCTTCATGAAGAAAGAACGTCGCCGGTGGACTTGGGAATCGCCCAACGGAACGACTTATGCTGAGATCGACCACATTCTCACCAACCGAAGTTGGAGCTTACTCGATGTCTCTGTAGTTCCACCCTTCTGTAGTGGCTCCGATCTCCGCCTCCTTCGAGCGAAGATACGATTCAGCCGAAGGTTGGAAAAGAAAGTCTGTCATAGTGCCGCGAGAAGGAAGGAAGTCGTTTATGACGGTAACAGGCTGGAAGAGCTCATATCAAGTTGTGACTGGCCCATCGAGGAGGACCCAACGTACGACTACGACCGGCTTCTGAAAGGATTGCGAGCCTGTGGAGAATGCGCCTTAGTGACTTCTGAGAAGAACTTGGAACGCATTTCGAAGACCACCAAGGAAATGCTCGAAAGAAGAAGATTCTGAGGCAGGATCCGAATGCAACCCATCTCGAGCGACTGATAGCCAACGCCAGTTGCAGAACAGCTTTGCAAGAGGATCTCAGCAAGTACAGGCAAGCCAAGATACTGGAAGCAGCCGAAAGAAGACGAAGTTTTAAGAAGTGCCGAAGGGACCTCTGTGAATATCACATACCGCTGGCTGCACTACTGAACGAAGACGGGACTCCGACTTCTTTCCGATACAAGATGGAATCTATCGCGAAGAACTTGTACAATAAGACTCTTCCGCTCATCAACACCCGTGTCGATGCCCGTTGTTCCCACTGGAGAAGTACGACCAAGGATTCTACCTGCTGAAATGCGTACCGCGATACAAAGCATGAAGACGTCCACGGCTCCAGGACCAGATCATCTTTCCGTCGAACTTCTGCGAGCCGGAGGACACCGTCTACACGAGATTCTAGTCCACATTTGACATCTTACCTTCAGAAGAAGAAGATTCCCGACCTGCGGAGAACGTCAAGAACCGTCCTTCTCTTCAAAAAGGGTGAGCG